GTGCATGTTAATGTGCGTGACTGTACGTTTATGTGTGTGTGTGTGTGTGTGTGTGTGTGTGTGTGTGTATGTGTGTGTGTGTGTGCGCGCGCGTATGTTAATGTGCGTCGTGACTGTACGTTTATGTGAATGTTTGTTAATAAAAATGAACTTAATGTAGAGAATGTGTTTTGCTATTGAATCAATCTTGCTTATCTCCGGTTCATGTTTCGCTTGTGTTTAAAATTACACCAAACCAATTGTATAGTAGTCCTTGCACCAAACCAATTACTGTCATTTTTCTTATACTTTTAAATGTATGTGTTTTAACACCCCAACGATACATTTTTCGATCATTTAGGAGGCAGGTTAGCACCCTACCTGCCAAAGTCGGCAGGAACTGAGAGGCATACGCCATAGCAGCTGAAAGACCAATAAAATTAATAGAAATTCTTCCCACACTGGAATCCAATTTTGGTCTTCTGTCAGCACTAAGCCGGTAAACTTCAGACATCTGTCTGTTTCTTTTTAAAATGATCATGAGTGACCATGTTAGATCAAAGAATAAATGAAGGTAAAAGAAATTGTCAGTAGTGATCTATTCGGAACATTTAGACCAACAATGGACAAAGGGGGTATACCATTTTCACAAGAGATTCATCCTGGGCATAAATCGATCACAACAAACTTCTTATTTAATTTTTATGGATGGTGGGTCGTTATTTACTTCTAAATGAGATTAGTTTAGTTTTAGTAGAGGTTTTACGGCATTCGCAACTGCATAAGGTCATATGAGCGCCAGAAGATTAGAGGTGTTACAAGAGAGTAACAAACATAAAAAAAGACGAAGGGGAGATAAGGACGTTAGATCTTTGATAGGGAAGAAGAAGCAAACCACACAAGAGCAACCGCCAGCCACCCACCTTCTAAATGAGTTATTTATAATTTTTTACAACTGGACCCCAGAGTTAAAAATGTGGCATGGGTATATTTTTAACTCTGTAGACAATATACTGTACTGAGTCTGCTATTGCTGCCACAACAACAACAACAACAACAAAGACAACAATAACAACAACCACAACAACAGCAACTACTACTACTACTACTACTACTACTACTACTACTACCACTACTACTACTACTATCACTACTACTACTACTACTACTACTGCTACTACTACTACTACTACTACTACTACTACTACTACTATGACTACTACTACTACGACTACTACTACTACTACTACTACGACTACTACGACTACTACTACTACTACTACTACTACTACTACTACTACTACTACTACTACTACTACTACTACTACTACTACTACTACTTACTGAACAGCAACAACAGCAACAGCACTAACCGAAGCAAAAACGACGACAACAACAACAACGACAACAACAACAACGACAACAACAACAAACAACACCAAAAACAACAACAATAATAATAAATTACAAAACTTCAACTTTTATCCCCAACAGTATCTATACTATCACGAATATGTGGCGCCAAACCAGTCTGCTTCTTCTGGTTCTCCTCCTGAGTGCCAACCAGTGTGTAAACTGCCAGTGTGTACCGGGAGACACATGCAAAGCGCCGGACTGCCGCTGCTGGGACGACCCATCAATCCCCGGAGGTCTGACAGCGGCCGAAACGCCTCAAGTCGTCCTAATTTCGTTCGAATACACCGTGAATAAGGGCAATGTTGATCTCTATACAAAACTGCTTAAAGGTGAGATCTTAATGGGTAAAGTTAGGTTACAACATCAGCTCTCGGACTTTTTTTAATTAAGATAATGATTCACATCAGCTGCTATCCGTTTTGGTTTATTATAATATTATTGCAGTTTACTTTCTGACATCATTATTGTTATTATTATTATTATTATTATT